ATCTATCTATCTATCTATCTATCTATCTATCTATCTATCTATCTATCTATCTATCTATCTATCTATCTATCTATCTATCTATCTATCTATCTATCATCGCACTGGTCATTTAGAGCTACTATAAACACAGTGCGCATGCGCAAGCTAACATTTCCGCCCAAGTGCACTTCCTCATTAGCGAGGATCGTTTAGTCCAGCTACGRTAAGCCTACCACAGCATTCCCCCCTCCTCATAATATATTAGTGTCTCACAGATGTCGAAGCCCCCTCCTAAACCGGCCAAGCCAGGTGAGTCTGAAAACCTTGTGTTTTTAAAATGAAAACTTTACGTAAAACTTTAGTGCGGCTGTTGGTAATGTTCGTTAACTGGCGAGAGACGATCTTTTCTTTTTCCCTTTTTTTTTTTGCCTGCGAAGTTTTTACAAAACCACAGCGGAACAAAAATAGCCTGACGTTGTGGTTCAGGCCTGTTCCAGTCACGGGTTTGTGGCGAGACTGAACTGGACGTGTTGAGCTGATTTTTGTAGCTCCACTGTCGAGTGACAGACAACAAGCAGTGCAGACACAGCAGGCCTCTGTCACTTCTTTTTTTTTTTTTTTTTTTTTTTTCCCATCAGCCAAACAGAAGATGGCATTCAGGTGAGTTTAGTTCAGGGGTGATGGTGAGGTCAGTGGTTTCAGTCTGATAAACCCTCCTCTCTACTACACCACCAATGTAGTTTGTTTCATAAATGCATTTTATTGTTTAAGAATGGAAACAATAATGTTTGTATTCTTGTGAATTTGTAAGAATTTTAATTCTACAAGAAAGAAAAGAAAAGCATAAAAGAAACAAGAATAGAATTAAATAAAACAAGATTAGAAAAAATATGGATTTGATTAATTTGTTTTACAAGACCGACTCAGAGGCTAAATCAACTAGAGAAATTGCGTTTTCTGTGAAAGTGCGGAGTGCCTTTTATTGAAAAGGCTAAAACTGAGCTTTTAAAGCTAACTGAAGCTTTACACTAAGATAAATGTAGCAAAACTCTAGCTGAAGGCCAGGTGTGACCAGTAGTTATAAGCTTAAAGTAGCAAAAGACCAGCTAAAACTATCAAGACTCGCTAAAAGCAGCATGAGTCTAGCTAAAACCTGCCAACGGCTAGGTAAAATATATTAAGTTGGATTACAAGTAGATTCTCAAACAGTACATAAGATTACATAAAAAGGATTGAGTTTGTTTATTCAGCTTTTAAACGGTTTTATTTACTTTGACAGATGCACTGAGCAAAGCTTCGTTTGTGGCTCACGTGGTCGTGACTGATTTCAGAAGAGTTAATGAGTGCAAATGCAAAATTAAGACCGAACGAGCACCTCGTTTTATATTATGCATTTATAGTGCAGATTTGTTTCATAGAGTTTCCTGTGACATGAATGTACTGTAACACGTAAAAATAATTTTCCTGTTGTGATGATCTGAACAAACCCTTACACACAGGGACACTTGTTATATTTTTGTATTTTATTTTTTGATCATCTTGCGTCACAAGCATTCAGACCAGGCCTGTGAGTGTATTTTTGTGCGCTGACGTCTTCCTTCGACGTCAAGATGTCACAACAAGAAAACGATTTATTTGGTAGGTTGCCACAGCCGTGCTTGTGTCTTGTGCAAGGAATTAGGCCGCGTCAGACGCCGAGCAGGTCTGAAGAGTCCAGTACGGTCGTAGATGTTGTTAAAAGAGACTGGCGCAAAACATGTTGCAGAAATCGCTTTTGCACCAAAGTAAATCAAACAATACAACAAAACCACATCCAGATTTTTACAACGATGATGCACATTTTCAGCTTGTTGTGTGCCTGAGGGTTTAAAAAACCCCACCACGTCTAGTCAGGACAGGCGCTCGTGTTTGAGGCTGCATGACTGGACCTGCAGAGCTGAACGCTTGCTGAGTCGAACAGAGCTGGTGTTGTGCTGCAGCTCTGCCCCCGTATTTGGATGTTTGGGGAGGGGGGGCTTCTTACAGCTAAAAATTTAAATACTTAATAAATATAATCATTTTTGAAAAGGAAAAAAAAAACAGTTGTCCTGCTTTTGAACCTTTTGGATGAGCTTAAAGATTTTTTTATGATACATTTTTGTAAAGCTTTATTTTCCTCAAAGTAAACCCAACAGCTGGTTTCACTGAACACATCAGGCTGCAGAGTGATCTCTGCTGATTTGAAACTCATCATTGACGTAACCAATAAGGGCGGGGCACATTTAAAAAGGAAGTCAGCAGAGGGAACAACTCTTATCTAAAGATAGATGCAAATCCTTAGTTGGCGTTGACTTTATTTACAGAAGTTCAGGATAAGATTTAGTCCAGTTTAAAAAAAAATCATTTGTGTTTTCCTTGTAGTTTATGTAGTAAATTTAGAATTTATGTCATACAACGCAGGACTCTGAGCACCGTCAGGTTCTGATTTGGTCTTTAAGTTAAAAGCTCGTGGTAAAAACCCTCTTCAGAGTTTTGAGAACTCGTTCAGCTGTCAGTTGAGGTCACAGCCACTCTGGCAGCATTCCTGCAGCAGAGCTGAGGTGTTGCGCAATGACAGCTCGGCGTCTTTGTTCTCGCCCCGCCTGTGATCGTATGTATTTTTTTTGCTGCAGAGGAGTCCGACCTGTCTGATTTGTTGTATTTCACCACATTAAAGCAAGCTGCAGAAGTGAAACGTTGTCGTGCGGGCCTGCTGATTCTCGAACACGCATGTTCATCACGTATGAGCTACAAATATTTTATCTGACGAGCCGTGTCTGTTCTGTCCTTACTAGGCCAAGTCAAGGTGTTCAGAGCGTTGTTTACCTTCGACCCCAGAACAGTAAGTGCTTTATCATTTTTAAAAATAATTTTTGGTAACATTTATTTGATCTATTCATTCGTTTTGAGTTTACCATCACTTTAAATGTTTAAAAACTGGGGAAAAAAATGTCGTAACAGTCTCCAACTCAAGACATTGTTAATTTAAGTAATTCAAGATTGTTTGTTCAGATGCACAAATCAGGTGAACCTATTGAAATACCAATAATTATCATATTTAATAAAACTCGTGTTTTTCAATCACTGTTATTTTCTGATGATTTCCTTTTTAGTTGTAAAAATGTGTTCGACAAGCCAAAAGTTAAACTTTAGTAATGTTTTTTTTTTCAGCCAGATGAGTTGTACTTTGAAGAGGGAGATATTTTGTACATCTCAGACACAGTAAGTAAAAAAATTGAATTTATTTGCTGCTCTCCTCCATCAAATCATTGTTTCCACTAGGGCTGCAACGATTAATTGATTATTAAAATAATCGATGACTAATTTAATAATCGATTAATCTTTTTTTTTTTTGTTCTTTACTTTGTTTTTCTCTCCAAACTGCTTTGACACCTTCCACTGCCACATCTGCCTTTCTGTCCTTGACACACATGCACAGTAGTGGTAACTGGGGTMGGCCGTGGACGTCACAAGACATTATACAGACAGGCTCTGGTATCATGGCTACCTGACAACGGAGCTCAAAGTGTGGGATCATTTTAATAAAATGAAAGAGGAACCTGTGTAATATCTGCAGAGCAGAACTTGCCTTCCACAGCAATTATTTTTAGTTAGCATATAGCTAAAATCTAACCATGGTTATACAATAGCAGCTGCATTCTGGCACAATAAGCTCTATGTTTTATATTCAATTAACGTATGATCCGATTAGTCGACAAATCAAAAATAAATCAGTGATTAATCGATTATAAAAATAATCGTTTGTGACAGCTCTAGTTTCCACACTAATTTTGAATCTGCAAATTGTTCCTCTTTCTGGAGAAGCTTGTCTTTTGTCCCTCCCTTTTCTTATGGTGTTACTCATCCATTGTGTCTTCAGTCCAGATAAAATATTCGTCATCTTGATTTCACTTCTGCTTTAGTTTCCTGTTTTGTTTTATTTTTATCTCCATTATTTTCTGTAATTCTTAAGGAAAATGAATTCCTCTTTGCTGCTTTCTCCAGAGTGACACTAATTGGTGGAAGGGGACATGTAGAGGAAGGACGGGACTGATTCCAAGTAACTATGGTGAGTCTAAAATAATGAAGGGTATTAATGCTTTAACGTGCAGTGAGAATGAATTCACACGACTGAATTATGCTTCTTGGCTTTTTAGTGGCCGAGCAAGCTGAATCTATTGACAATCCTATGCATGAAGCAGCCAAACGAGGTATGAATATTAAACATTTCAGGGTTTTTATTTCCTCTTATTGTTTCTCAAACTGTCCCACTGTTTTTGTTTTTGGCAAACCTGTCATGTTATTGCACTTGTTTTTGAAATGAAACAGGCAACATAGACTGGCTAATGGAGTGTGTGTTGAACAACGTTGCGATCAACGGGCTTGATAAGGCGGGAAACACTGCCCTCTACTGGGGATGCCATGGAGGACATAAAGGTAGCTGTAAATATGACACAGAAAAAGTGTACACATCTAAACACCATGTTCAACTAAACTGCTCCGGAGGCCACAGTTAATGCAGGGCAACAGCACAGGGGCCAAACTTCCACCAGTTAATCATTATGTAAATAAAACAATATTACAAAGATCTGTACCTTTTTGAAATAGTTTATTTAGCTGTGTTTAATCATGAATACAACATACATTTCACTTTCATAGTTTTATCTTCAACCGCTTGTAGTTTTAACTGTCTTAGTTCATAAAAAATGTTTTTTTTTACCAGCTTCTAGCCAAGATTCTGACATTTCTGTAGACACCACACATCTATGGCTACGTTCACACTGCAGGCAAATCCGACCCAAATCCAATTTTTTTTTTGACCCATCTGACTCGTATCCAATTTTTTTACGACAGTCTGAACGAGACAAATCAGATTTTTTCAAATCTGACCCAGGCTGTTTCAGTATGTAGTTTTAAATCGGATACCTATCTGATGTTTTCAAAGTGACTGCAGTGTGAACGCTCATGTCACATTCATCTGACTTTTTCATCAGGAGGAGGGGGTGAAGGATCGATAAGACACTAACCTCAAGTCACRCTGTTTAAATCTGCAGCTCCATGTGTTTACAGCTCCAAAACACAAGTCCAGTTGCTTCATCTTTTTACTATTCATTAGTATGATAATAACGATGTCCAGCCTGGGTCGCGGAGAGTATCGATCCTAAAGTTAGATACTCAGTCGATACTTTTTTCCAGCTCGTAGTTTCGTTAAAAAAAAAGCATCCCGGCCAGAGGCAGGTTCAGATATAAACACTGAACTAAAGAAGCATGTCAGATAATTATTTAATCGGCTCTGATTAAACAACAACTTCCGATTCGATGCGCAAAATGTAGCATCCATGCTAGCTCTGTAAACAAACAAGCCGGCTGATGAGACGTCACGTCTTTTACTGCGCATGCGTCACACCAGTGCTGTGGAGCGTTCACACAGGGGTCTGATGCAGGTCACATTTAAAATGTAATGTGAACGTTCACACAAAAAGATCGGATTTTTTCAAAAAATCGGAACTGAGCATTAAGACCTGCAGTGTGAACGTAGCCTTTGTCTAACTAAAACAACTTATAGTAATTAAAGTAGAAAACCTGGGGTTTGGGCTTAAGAGATGAATGAACCAATTGGAGGGCCGGACTTTGGTCACTCGTGGGCTGGATGTTAGGGTTGGGCAATGTTGGCAACAGTTAATTACGATTAATTGTGGTATTTGGCCGATAACGATTAATTTGACTATTAAGAGTGATTTAAATACTTGAGTGATTTTAAATTGTGACCAATTTAAATCACTGGTGGGAAAGATTTGCTCTCCATAAAAATCTGTTCCAAACTGTGTCAAAAGTACAGACTTCAGGCTATGCATCAACTTTTAAATTGTTTTAATAGACCAAGTAAAACCGGAGTTCTGATAAATAAATTACACTTTTGTTTTAAATGTTTGGCAAATTTGAAGCAGAGTTGGACTGACCGAGGAAACCTTCAGTCTGCCTGGTGGCATTAATCGTATTAATAGTCAAGTGCCAAAAAATAATCAATTTAAAGTTTTTCCGACGATTAATTACGATACGATTTTGCCCAACCGGATGTTGCCCGCAGGCCGCCAGTTGAATAGCCCTGGTGTGCATTATTAAACATGGCTGTGTGTATTTTTGACCCCTATGTTGTGGCAGAATTATTTGTCATGGGAAGTTTGAAGAAAAGGAAGTTTGTTTTAGCCCTCTACCTTTTACACAGTACATATCATTAAATATGTTCTTTTTGTGTGTGTGTGTGTGTGTGTGTGTGTGTGTGTGTGTGTGTGTGTGTGTGTGTGTGTGTGTGTGTG